GATGGTAGGATTACGTCATTGTACACACAATGCATATCAATAAATCGTTTCCATTTAAGATAAAAATTAGATTTCGGTACACGAGAATAGGGTAATATTGCACGTCGCCTCCGTGCATATAATACACCAAAATTATCATATATGTCTTTTTCGTTTGGACGTGTTACCATTATAAGATACTTTAAAAGTACTTTCATTTTCACGATGTTGTTTATTTAATATTGTTGGTCATAGAATATAAAATTACGTGTAGTTGAAAACTGTGTTGTCGTGGTTGTCATTAATTATGTTTTTTTGGTATTCGCAGTATTAACAAACATACTGGATCATTCTAACCAAGTTACTGTAGAGAACGGTGAAGTACGCGTGACTCTCTTGAATGGAGAACCGAAAATATATTATAACGGGGAGCTGTCCGGTGCCCAAATGTCAACGTCTCTACGAATGGTTGTTTATATGATGTCATTGTGTGTCACCAGTTTCATATTATTGTCTTACTAGAATGTATTAATACTTCATTTTTTTAGCTCAATATATTCAGTAGTTTTCTTGTACATGTCGATTCTGCGTTATTGTTTTGATATATGACCAATAACTGGTCATTCACAAGGTAATTTACAGCGTAACCATGTATTCGATATCAATGCATTTTTTCATCAAATTAGACTTTGTTACGATGATTTTTGTTTTTCATTATTAGTTTTTTTACATTGTTGATGTGCATGAAAATAAAACATGTTAGCAAACTGGTCATTTTATCAAACTCCGTGTTTAAAATCAATCCAGTCATAGCATTGCATATATTTGTCAATACATCATGTGTTGTCGTTGCATTGTTTTCCCCACAAGTACTCATGGGCATGAAGAATAGAAAATATCCACGATATATACTATAGCACGATATCAATATCAATCACGTTGTCATTCGATTTATTCTCGATTGCATTGTGGACCTCAGTTTCAATTCACAGTTTCGTCGCCAACTAATTCAAAAAACTCTATATCGGATTGACTTTACACAGTCTGAGCAGCGATACTCACCCAGCGACTACCGGGAGCATACACACAATTGGCGATAGGATTCACTATCGATAAAACGCTGAGTTTATTGCGAGTGACTGTTCTATGTCATAAGGAGTCATTAATATTATAAGAATCTAGTAAACAAGACTTGACCAACAGACTATTCCAACCACATGCACCGACAAAGCTATATTTTATATTAAAATACATTAAATTATTATTGTCATCTGTGCCTTTGAGTGTTACGTGTGTTTACGTATATAGGTATTATTCATGTCTGACGAAGCGTTTCAGGTGATAAACTTTTGTTTGTGTAGTGGTAAGTGAGTTAATATATTAAACGACCAGTGACCTGAAAGTTTGTGAAATTTTCAGACTGTGACTGCGTCACGTGATGCCGTCCATTAATTTGCTCATTTGGTGGAACGTGCCATATTCCTATTCAATCTTTGTACACAGTAGCTATAGCATGTACCAACACACCTCATTGAGTCAAACTATTTTAAAAAGCGGGACCAATATTAAAATGATATTTTATTAGAAATATCATTGTCGTAACTGTTTAACCTTACCCGGGTACATTCACTTGTCTCAAATAATAAATAGTGAATTTTAAAATTACATTGTATTATAAGTATCATTGTCATAATTGTTCCTCTTTACCCAGGGTTCATTCACTCGTTACGAGTTTTAAAATTACATTACTTTAGAAATAATATTATCACAATTATTCCATCTTACCTTACCCGGGGTACGTTTACTCGTTTGAATTAAATTATCAGAACGTGACATGTAGGTGTATTATTGTCACTATTATGATTAATTTTATTCGTTGTTCAGACATACTTAATGACGTTGTATGCTGATTTTTTTACTCGTATCGTTTTACATGCGGCGATAAATTTTATAGCGTTTTCGCATATTTATGTCCACATGTATACGAATCACATATAACAGGTTTCTCCCATAAATCTGCACGACGATCTGTTCATATTGTGAACACAGATAAGATCTCTTATTTCGCATTTCAGGACTTATTCTATGATATATTTTAGCGAAGAATGATTAGATGATGAGTTACCAAACTTTCTTCATACAACTTTCATAAGTATAGTAGCGGATATTGGATGCCAACACTGATTTGTGAGAATATTTATTACTGGAAATACAAACATCAACTATAAAATTAGTCACCTCTGATGTGCTTAAAAATATGGAGTCCAAGAAACCTTTGAAATATATTAAACATGTTTTATTTTCTGATGCACAACAACAAGCAAACAAAATTAATTATGGAGAAAAACAAATCATCGTGAATTAGTAGAAAGTCAACGACCTATTTGATGCATTGATATCGATTACATGGTTACGCAGTAAATGTATCCTGTGAATGATCAGTTAATGTCATATATCAAAACAATAACACGGAATCGACATGTACAAGAAAAACATTGAATATATTGAACTAAACAAATTAAGTATTAATACATTCTAGTAATACTATAATATGAAACTGGTAAGACACAGCGACGTCATATAAACAATCATTCGTAGAGACTTCGACATTTGGGCACCGGACAGCTCCCCGTTGTAATATATTTTCGGTTCTCCATTCGAGAGAGTCACGCGTACTTCATCGTTTTCTACAGTAACTTGGTCAGAATGATCCAGTAAGTTTGTTAATACTGCGAATACCAAAATAAAATTATATTGGTTAGATGTTGGATACATGACATCAAAACAACTACGAATCTATGTGATACATAATTAAACATAAAACTAAAACATTTTTTCATTGAAAAACATAATTAATGACAATCACGACAACACAATTTCCTACTACACGTATCTCTATGAACAACAATATTAAATAAACCACACTGTAAAAATTGAAGTAAATTTATGATATGTTGTCATGGTAGCCAACACGTCAAATATGCAGAGGCGACGTGGAATATAACTTGTATGTTTAATGAAACCGATTGATTGATATGCATTGTGTATACAATGACGTTATTCTACCATCTCCATTGCTGAATCCATGGCCGGTAACAGTACGCTCTACGACTGTCTGACTACCTTTGTTGGATAACGCCACCAGCGTCTGAAAAATAACAGTATTCATTCAATGTTATAACAATTATTTCTGTCAATTTCGAGATCGTATTTCAAACAAGGCAACGTTCATTTTATTGCATTCTATTTCATATCTGATCATATGGTACAACACATTGATGATCTTACGTGTGTTTGATACAATATAAGGTTATAACAGGGATACCGAGTATCGACCGATGCCTAGCGGAGGTAGACGCGACCGTGTACTGTCTGAATGTATATTTTGTTGCATCCACGTAATAACCATATTATTATACACCTCCCAATCTTAGCGCGTTGTGTGTGGAGCCCAGAAATAAGCAACAAACATACCAGAATTTGTTCAATGAAATACTAACAAACGCTAACGCGCATGCGTCATGGATTTCCGTATACTAGTACAGATAATACAAAACTCAAGTTTACAATATTTCGTCAAATGCTTTGTTTGTAGAAACACGTTTTAACGCTTTTAAAATTTAAAGTTTGTTCTAGTAGCCCACGCATTAATATTTTGTATTTGTTATTAAAAATAACTAACTACTCTATCTACTTATCTATAAATTTCGCCTCGTATATTTGTTTGTAACATGATCTCGTGTTTTTGTTGTGCTTCCTCAAGTAGTAATAATAAACCCAATATTAGTGGCACGTGCCACGAAATTACGCATTCTGGGATTTCTAGTCACGAATTATTTACACCATACTACTTACATCCAGTCTAGTGAACGAATAGAACTCATCGTCATAGGTTGTTTCAGTCTGGTCGCTGTCAATGAAATTCTGACCCAGACTGCGACTAAACGTATTCACGTCAGCAATAAACTGAAAGAAAGTGAGAAATAAACCTTATAGACGAGCCTCTAACAGTATTACCGATGATTTATGAAATACGTAGATTGAATTATTATAAAATCATTGAAAACTCTCACCAATATTCTTTATATTACAAAAGGAAAGCATGTCGGAATTTGTAACATCCGCTAAAAATCTGAGCATAATATTATCAATATTATCTAATCAGCAATCGCTTTATTTTAAGTGTGGACGATCGCTGTTGCTGTGTCACGCGAAGGCGTGCCGCCGGCATTATGAGCGTAAATAATAAATAGCTCAAGAGACAATCACTATTGAATATTTGAATTTGAATGAGACCTGATGATCAATTTTAAACAAATACATTTATAAGCAAAGCCCCACGTTGTGTCTTTCACTGTAGTGGTGGGGGGGGGGGGGCCGAGAAAATAAATCGTGGCTGGCGAAGATGAAAGTCAATGAGTGCAATGTACGACCAAATGATATCGAACGCTAGTAGGCTAGAATACCGGGATATAATTGTAGTTACAAACTGAAATAAGACCATGCGCCAAAGACATAACTTCATAAAAGGCAATAACTTTGACCACGTGAAAGCAACACAACTCCAACTATATATAGAAACTGACCTCCTACCTGATATAGTTCATGGCTGGTGTTATAATGAGGCCAAAGAGACTCGCGATTCTGTGGATCATTGCCGCCATCAAAACCAACCTCTGTTCCATAATATATGATGGGAATCCACTGAAATAATACAAGTTATTACAATATCGCATCATTGTAGACTTGTTATATATCATAACTTGACTTAACAGTACGTACCAGTAAATAAAAGCACATGGCTTTGCATGTTTATGTAGTCTATAGAATAGATGCGACCAATCAGTATCACGTGCATATAAATATTCAGTACAAAACAATAAGGTATCCACTGTAACATTGCCTTGTCGATTGATTCGATTTTAGTTTAAGGTGCTACTAAAATAATTACTTTAGCCATCAACAGGTAAGCTAACGCACTCCGCAGTGTTGCTAAGTTACCATTGTTAGCCAGGAATCGTTTTCGGTCATGATTGTCAAGGAAACCACCAAGAACTGACGTGTCCTGATATTCGTCGGCCTGGAATAAACAAATAGGAAGATACAATGGAGACATTGTTCGTCAAAACACCTTTAACTCACCAAATCCGGCTTATTATATGAAGGGAGAATAGGTAATTATAATTAGGAAATACAAACAAACAAATGTATGTTTCTGTGGTTGCTGATGTCGTCAGAGTACATGTGACATTACTTGAAACCGAACTCGTACTCGTCACTTGTCAATATCAACAAACGACGTAGTATCTCGTACACATTAACTGTCTATTTTCCGTTCACTGCGAGATCCCGCGTTAAACGTGAAATCGAACGTAATAAAAGGGCAAACAAAGGTTATAACGCCATAATGACGTCAACATATCGATTGGGATTAGAGAAACGCGAACGTATTTTAGGGATATTTCCACGCTCTAAACTGTTGATGATGATCACTGCGAGAAAGTATTTTAGGGATATTTGCACGCTCAATAATG